AAGAGTGGCCGTCCTGTGATGCAGCCGTGGGAGTGATGTGGAAGAATTATTACAAAAACCAGGTCGTTCCCATTGGTTTTAATGGTCGTTCCCGGAAGTCTAGGGATATTATACCAGCACCCAACTCGGTCTCCGAAATGGAGGGGGTTGTTGGGCCCTAAGAGGTTGAAGCATTGACCTGGCAGGTCTCGGGTGCTATTATGTCATAGTCTAAGATTGTCGACATCATCAACATGTGCTTCCGACCGAAGTGGTAGGGCGCGCGTGTAAATCATTCGTGCTGTAGGCCCAGCAGAATGCCACTGGGCGGAAGCGAAGAGCTTGGCGCCAGGAGAGTCCCTCTTGCTGCTTCGGTGTTTTCGTGCCCTGTCGGACAGTTCCGTGCCACCTCGCGTCGCGGCCGGTCGAGGCCCAGCGCTATTCCGTCTCGGGCGAGTTTCGGCAGCAGCTCAAGGCCGGGACCGTCGCCGGCGGCGGAGGTTTCAGTGCGCACGGGGACGGGGTCGACTGCACATGGAGTCGTAGACCTCCAGGGCTTTTGACCTGGCCCCCCAGGCGCCGCGAGTGGTCGTTGGGTTCGCCTTGCTGTCACCGGACGACTCCGCGAGGATTCCGTAGCAAGAGACGTACACAACCCAACGGGGGAGAGGACATCCAAACTGGAGGGGGGATGGAACATTCCTCGTGTAGAAGTATACATGCGTAGTTGTGTGCAGGGTAGATCATTGTAAAAAGTAATGGAATCGTTGTTTAGTTGGTTGAATATGGGAAACAAGATAAAGCATGCATCTGATATCGAGTGTGATGTGCTCATGAGTGGTTCTTTTATCTCTGCCAGACACGCATCCGACGAGACGGATGTTTGTTTTTCCAAACAAACACGGCTGCGAGTCGAGGAGCTTCTACAGCAGATCCAAAGTTACTTCAGCTGCATTCAGCTTCAGAAGGAACATGGAAAAACAGATCCCAGGATCATGGTAATCTATTGGACACCCATCGGATGACCAGGAACATGTCTTTTAGAGACTTCCCGAAATTGATCGGGATGGAGAACGCCTCGTTCTGGCACGGCAGCGCTGAGACCAGGAAGAAAGAAAGTGCATTTGCTTCTGCAACGTCAGATTTGGATGATTGTTTCCTGGAAGAACTTGTTGAAGGTGTTTGGAACTGTTTGATGTACCTATAGTGGTTTGGAGGTTCTCCAAAACAGCCTGCAAAATCCAAATCAACCAGAACAAGGGAGGGTGATTCCTCGGTTTGTTGGGCTGGCCGGTCTCGACATGGGCGGTGGAAATGAAGAGACCTATTGCAGCTCCAAGTCAGAACCTCACTTCTCACTTTGAATGATCCAGGGGGGCGACTGTTTAGTTTGTGGTTTTCTGGTGCATGGGGTCGAGTCGAAATATAGATCAGTGGAATTGGATTCTATTTCATGGTTTCACGGAGAGTAGTGGGTCGTGAGTAGTACATTGCATGGCATCTACAAATGTTTCCCGTGAACCTGGCTAAACAGCAGATCAGGGGTTCTGAGCCATTTTTCTGACATCGGATCACCAGCTGAAGTCTTGGAATAATTACCGTTCCAAAAGTCACTTTCGGATGGAGAGATCCCACTTAACACCATGGTATTATACTACCTCGTGCACACTCGTGCCCGCTCGGTCTCCCCGTTTGGACCGTCACGTCACTTGGCACCGGAGCAGATCCATCGGGACGGGAGGCGGAGGCATCGAGCGGATGACCCGATCTGAGGTACACAGCCTCACTTCATCCGCTGCATTAAGCCCAATCCCAAGAACCAGGCCGTGTGAGGGGGGGGGAACGTGTTTTGGGAGCGTGGCGGAAGACCGAAGACCTACAGAGCTGCGTCGAAGCTGGCGGGGCCAGCGGGCAGACAGTCTAGGCAGGCGCGAAAAGGCCATTGGGGGGCGTGAAGGCGGTTTGGACAACGGTCGCTGCGACTGGACGATCACTACCAGCACCCGGTCGACCTGCCAGGTCTCCGAGTTTGGGTGAATTTTGTAGACTTAAAAGTGGACCTGGTGGTGACCTGTTGGAAGGTCCTGGTATGATTCGGTTATTGAAGGGTTTTGATGAAATACCTACCACTAATACCGTTATAACCCAAGACTGATGGATGTACTAACCATATCGATGTATGCATTGAAAAACAATCAGTTATAGAGGAAGCCGAGCAGCCGAGATGAGCACTGGGAATGCGCATTGAGCTCAGATGGATCTTCGATTAATAGAAAAACCTGTTTGGCCAACCAGATGTCACTTGCTTCATGTTGCTTTTTGGGGGGCACAAAAGGTGCTTTTCAAACGAAACCAAGAATCACCTGACCGTCTTTGAAGCCTTCAAAAAGAAAAGCACCGCGAAAACAGCATGAAGCAGGAAAACACCATGGATCAGAAGCACTATAAGGACTCTCTCCCCACACTTGAGATCCACCAGACACCCCCGTATCCACCCCCGTATCCACCCTGCAGTCGATCAGTCCACCCGCTCTCCCAGGCCTTCCGAGACCGCGAGGCCACGAAGCCCTTCTTCGACCGCCCCAGCGTGGCGGAGCAACTCAGCCGGGATGCCCCGAGACGCGCCACGCGGACGCGGACGCGCCGCTCCGTCGGGACCGGGCACCGGGTCGGACCAAAGGGGCGGACGACGCGGGGTCGCTGTGGAGCTTGGCCGTTGGTGTTTGTTCGCAGTATAGTCAATCAATCAGTCAACAGTATACTAAGAATAGAGGATTTAATTGAGATCACTCCAATCCACCTTCCCTGACTCGGTTTGTGACCCGAAAATCCACGGCTGTGCGCGGCGCTCGCGCGCGAGCCTAGCGCAGGCTATCAGGGAGTCCTCGCAGCGATCAAGGCGTTTGTGCTGAAGGGAGGAAGGAAGTGTTCTGCAGAGAGGGTGGAGGTTTCCACATTATATGTACTATAATGTACGGTGGCTTTTTGGGTGGAGAAGAGTAGGAAGAGTTGCAATCTTTATGTTAACCTTGTGACTTTCCAAACGGAAGGTTTCTGAAACGGACATGAATCCAAACGGACATTGAATGCATGTTCTTTTGGGTCGAAGAGTTGCATCACAACTCCTCGTTGAACGGAGCTGCAGAGCTGCGGAGCGCCGGTCTTGGAGTGAAGATCGTGGTAAGTTATTGCCAGTGATAGGTGTTCTCCTGGAGCTGTTGGATGCAGGGCGGAAGTCGTTTCTTCATGGCCTTTCTTCCTTGAAAAGAATGCTGCAGAATGCAGAGGTCATTTGCGGAAGGTCGACATGTCACCAGAACCTGGGTCACAGAGACCCAAACCCAACAGCAACCACAAAGCCTTGACGCTGAAGATTGATCGTTATAGAGAAAGTCTCTCAAAGCATGGAGCATCGCAACTTCCAACTCCAGATCCACCACTCGGACTGTCCCAAATCGCCCCGAAACGAAGCTTCGGCTTTGAAGCCAAGAGAGGTTGAGAGACCTTATAAGACCCTGTAGTGGTACATATGGGACAGGCTATAAGGCTGTTCAACCTCTCCTGGTTAAGCACGCTTCACTCAAGCACGCAACCAACTCGCCACTTCAGCGCCACGCGCCGGTGACAGGTGGCTCGAGCCGGCTTTCCGGTGCGTTTCTGGCACAGCGAGTTCTTGCGTGGCGGATCCCAAAGAGCACCAGAGACGGGGAGATCCGGCCGGAGGTGTCCAGAAGGTCTTTTGGCCTGGAAGGTGGCGTTGTCCATCTCCATCATCTAAGGGTGAACCCATCTCCATCTAAGGGTGGGCCCAACTTATATGGGCAAATGCCGTGGGTGCAGAAGTTGGGCCCAAAAGGACGGTGCAGAAGTGGGGCCTCCACCTTTCGGATCAAGGTGTTCGGCCCGCGTCTTCGGGCCGAAACAAAGGACCAGATGAGACGTGAGACATGGCGCGATGGTCCCGGAAGTGGACGATGCTCCCTGGAAAGCTCCCTACAAATCAGCATGTAAAAAAAACAAAATAAACCACCGAAGATCGCAGGCCAGAGGGCTCACAGCATGGACATGTATTGGTTGAACATCCTAATTCGGATCTAATTCGCCTTTGATGCTGTTGTGTTCTAAACGGTCCACACCCGAGCTCATCCCCTTAACTGTATAGGAGTGGGGTAGTGGCCCGCCTGTCGCCCGAATGTGTGGCACCCGGGGATTGAACCTCCACCATACCGGCCTTTTTGCCGTTTGATTTGCAAATTGGGTTGGGATCGGATTCGAAACTCAAAAAGATCACGTGTTTGGTTCCGAGCTCTAGAGCTGTATATAGGGATGTAGGGATAGAGCTCTGCTGCTCCTTCCTCCTTCCTTCCTTCCTCCCCTCCCAGATCCGTTGGGGCCGGGGTGCCCTGCACCGTGACCCCATGGGGACCCGAGGGGAATTCCGATGCCTGGCGCCGCTGGAGCTGCAGAAGGACCTGGAGGTGCCCGGTGGTCCGAAGCGCCGCGTTCGGCCGCGGGCCGCGGGTGGTCCGCGGCGGAGACGGGGCGACGTACGTGGCAACGACTCCACAAAAGGTGGTGGTGTGCCTATCATGACTACCCCAGAGGGTGGTGTGGGTGGGCGTTTTGGAAGAGCCTTTCCTCTCAAGACTCGTCTGTGGCACGGGGGGGGATGTTGTGGCGGAGACGTGGTCCCATGGCCAGAGATCGACTGGAAGAGCCCCTCCGAACCGCATGATTATTGCATTCAGAGCCTCCAAACATGTACGGAGGTCCTTCGTGTCCTATCTAAATCACTTGTAGGGGGGAAGTGATCCGATCCACCCCATCGCAGATCCCCTCCAAAACGCTTTCGATGTGCGATCTTCGATGTGTCCAGACCACAGGGGTGATGAAACCCCAATTAGGCGGATGTTCGTTTTGAGGTTTGGAGGTCTGATTGTCAGGTGCCAAAACATACAAGGAAAAATGATCATCAAATGACTCATGTTCAAGAGACCCGATCATCTGGAACATGTTGGTCACCAAAAGCATCCAGTTTCGATCAGGTTCGCTGAATGGACTTGGGAAAAAGGCATCCTGATGGGGACTTGCCAGGCGCTTGTGAAAGCTTTGACCTTGCAAGAAGACGAGGTGCAGCGCGCGCGGTACGCAGACTGCGCTGAAGAAAACCACGGAGATTCCTGGATCTTCCAACTGCCAAAGATCTGCCGAACTTCATTCATCTCTCAAACCAGCCAGCCAAGTTCGTTCGTTCGGCAGAACCTGTGTCATATAATTCCCAGACGCGACCAGCACATGGGACTGCCGATTCGGACTGCCTTCATTTCACGGCTTTCGGGGTGGTGCTTAGCGGGGGGTCGACCTCTGGGGCGGCAGAACGGACGAACGCAGTCCCGTCTACAGGTCGTGTCTAGGATTGGAAAGATCCGGGTCCTGTACGTAGAGTAGGCCACCGGAATCGTGGGTTTGTGCCACCGTCGCATTGGGCCGGCACGGGCAGCGAAGCGGATGGCCTGCCTTTCATACACAAGAAGCCTCAAAGCCGCTGGGTTCTGGTGAATCTACTAGTAGCAAAGGGCATGACTATTTGTACCAGCACCCTCCCTGCCAGGTCTCCGAAATGGTAGCTTTTGGATACTTAAAAGTGGACCTGGTGGTGACCTGGCAGGTCTCGGGTGCTGGTAGTAGTATAGCTTCTCTTTGCAAATAACAAAGGGCATTACTATAGTAGTAGCTATGGGTTCTGGTGAAGCACTGGACTTTCCGAGTTGGGCTCTTTGGATCGGTCTTCGAATCGAGTGCCTCCCCACCAGCCCTTGGGCGGCCGAAGAGGAACAAGTCATCGGCATGGCTTCACTACTCAGCGGTGTGTGTCTGAGAGTCGACCGGGCGGTCGAACCCCAAAGGGTTCCTTCTTTCCTCCTGAAGTTGCAGGGCGTTCCGAGGGTTCCTTCACTCTTGAGAGCCAAAGGGTTCCCCAAGGGTTCCCCAAGGGCTTCGACCCGAGGGTTCCCCAAGGGCTTCGAGGGCGTCCCAAGGGTTCCCCACCATGAACCGACATTGATCTTCCACTGACCATCCATCGGATCTGCATGGGATCGATCTGCCGGACCGTCAAACGGTTTTTCGTCCCTAAGGGGTTTGGGCCACAGATGGCCACAGCCATAAGTGGCGGTGAGTATTTATACGGTATACGGAAAGAGGAACCTGTCACGGTCGACGCCCAAGATCGCCCAAGAGTTCCGATTCCCTTCGCTCCCGAAATCCTTCGCGTCTCGAAATGCTTTCGATCGCCCTGCTTTTCGCCTCCTCGTTCGCACGGTCCGAGCAGACACGGTGAGGCCGAAGCCTTGCGCGGCGTCAAGCGGCTGTTGCAGAGCGAACGCGTGCAGGCGGCAGCGTGCGCGGCGCGCGACACCGGCGTCACTCGAGTGAGCTGCGCTGTGGCGGAGATGAATCCTCTCAAGCCCCAGAAGGGCTGTGCGTTTTGCAATCTGAGTAGAGGACTATATGTTGCTGCATCTGGGGTCGTTTGTAGACCTGCTTGCAGTACTGGACTCATTTGTAGAGATGTTACAATGTAGAGTTCTTGCACAAGCATCACTGCATCACGATCAATCACCTGCGTGTTTGGTGTCTTGTAACAATCATTTGCAGGTGGCTTTGTGTAGTTTTCTGCAAGAGTGGATTCACAAGTTCAATGGCTCCAGCCTGGAATCACGTGAAACACTCATCGACGATGCCGATTTAGATGGCGCACAACTATCATGGCACACAGCTGGATTACATGGCAGTGCTAACAACCAGACTGGGATCTACAACAAGTGGATCACCAAAACCTTAGGCCTTTAGACGTGGTCCTCCACTTGACCTTCTGTTCGAAAGTTGGGATTCAGCCGCCCGCATGTGTTTTCTCTCTCTTTTTGTTCAGCCCTCAACAATAGTGTTGGAAATCCCACGATGTCCCCAACCAGAAAGGATCTTTCAAAGGTGCCAAAACCAACGTCTCAAAGCCGCCCTTCTGCCAACACAGGGCTACACACTCGCAAAACCAACACACGAATGCTTCTTTCTCCAAACACACAGCTTTCTCATGCATGGCCGCATGGCGCCCTGATGCGTGTTGCGCCGCTTTGCACGTCAACATGTGCCGCATCACCTGGTGCAGCCTGGCCCTGGCTGCGGCCGCGGCTGGAGGGCCCGTGTGGGACTACATCGTGGTGGGCGCTGGCACAGGACCGGCCGCGTTTGCCGCCGGCAGGTCTTGAGGTCTTGAGGTGAAGGAAGGTGAAGGTGCCGTTTGGGGTCAAGTGGTTAAGCCTATAGGTAGTGTGGGGTAGTCCATTGGACCCCTTGGAGGGTCCAGGTATGTTCAAGGAATTTGGGAGAGAGAGTCTTACAGAGATGCTTGATGTGAGAGAGTGCTAGTCTGGGGCAATCAGAAGGGAACTTGAGGCAATCAGAAGGGAACTTGAGTTGGCAAAAGCTTGAAATTCAGAGTACTTCCAAAGGCTTGTTTGTGCAAATCCTTATCGTTTGAGGGTCTACGTCGGCGTCTTGGCGTTTGGGGAGACCCAAAGACCGGAGGCATCCGCCGGTCGACCGAAAGACCGGCCACGAAGTGCCACGAAGTGCCACGAAGTGCGCAGAAGACATGGAGGGCACAGAAACAGAAACAGAAAGCTTCAGGATCAAGTTTACTATTTTGCTATCATATCAGGTACCGCATGCATGTCGGACCATCTAGGAGCCTGGAAAACGCAGCAGAGCCACAGAAATTTGGCAAACATGTGACATCTAGTTCTAAGATCAGCTCATATCTTGCTTGGAGTGGTCGTGTTCATCAGCCATGGCCCTGAGACTATCAGCCCTGCAAGTCAATGGTGATGTTATTCCTCTTGAAGTGACGCCCGAGATGACAGGTAGAGAGCTGAAGCAGCAGATCAAAGACATGGCAGGTAGGGCCTGGAATGAGGTGACTCGCAGAACCACAAGCGTGGAGATTCTTGCTGGAGATCACATGCTTGGCAATGATGAAACGGTGGCAGATGTGGGGCTGACCGCAGATGTTGTTGTGAGTGTTGTCTTCAAAGCGAACACCGTGAGATGCTGCAACATGGGTGCGATCACCACATTTGAGAGTGAAATTGACTTGGACCTTTTGTTCCGAGTAGAAATTCCAGATGGTGAACATCAAATCTCTGAGAAGGCCTTTGAACACTGCAAGAAAATTGCCACATTGACCATCCCAGGCTCAGTGACCCACATTGGGAGATATGCCTTTGCAACGTGCACCTCTTTGGTGAACGTGACCATCCCAGACTCAGTGACCCACATTGGCCAGAATGCCTTTGCAAGTTGCACCTCTTTGGTAAGTTTGACCATCCCGGAATCGGTCACATACATTGAAATCAGTGCCTTTGCAAATTGCTGTTCTTTGGTGAACTTGACCATCCCAAAGTCAGTGATTGGCATTGAGCTTGGTGCCTTTCAAAACTGCACCTCTTTGGCAAACTTGACCATCCCAGACTCAGTGACCCGCATTGGTCAAAGTGCCTTTGCAAATTGCATCTCATTGGCGAACTTAAGCATCCCAGACTCAGTGACGCACATTGCAGATAGTGCCTTTCAAAGATGCACCTCCTTGACAAACTTGACTATCCCACGCGCAGTGACCCACATTGAACGCAGTGCCTTTCAAAACTGCACCTCTTTGTTGAACTTGACCATCCCGAACTCTGTGACCCGCATTGGCCATAACGCCTTTTCAAATTGCAGCTCGTTAGTGAACTTGATCATCCCGGAATCAGTGACCCACATTGAAATCAGGGCCTTTGAGAATTGCGTGTCTTTGGTGAACTTGACCATCGCAGAGACAGTGACTGACATTGGACGAGAAGCTTTTACAAATTGCAGCTCGCTGGTAAACGTGACAATCCCACACTCAGTGACGCACATTCCGGAAGGCGCTTTTGCGAATTGCAGCTCTTTGGCGAACTTGACCATCCCAGACTCAGTGACCTACATTGGAAGAGAAGCCTTTAGGGATTGCAGCTCTTTGGCGAGTTTGACCATCCCGGAATCCGTCACCCACATTGAACACAGTGCCTTTGCCAATTGCACATCTTTGGTCAACGTGACCGTCCCAGACTCAGTGACCTTCGTCGGACGGGAGGCTCCGGAGAGTGCAACTGCTTGAGCAGCATTGAGTGCAATCCGCCAATCCGCACGAGTGCCATGGCGTCATTCGCCACGCCAGGTGCCATTGACGAGCATGGTCGTTGGTTCTTGAAATCTTCACCACTGTCACTGTGATGCTTTGATGCCACTGTCACTGTCCGCACTGTTGGTGTTGGTGTTTTCCAGGAATGGGAGCAACAGTGGGTCTTGAAGTATTGGCCACTGCCACTCTGATGCTTCAGGTGTTGGTCTGTTTGTTTTAGATCTTTGTTGGTCTTTGCTGCCACTCCCATGCAGACCATCGCCACCACTCAGCGCAGAGGGATGAAACGTCGACCATCGGTGTGCAACGGTTGGGATTGCCTCATCAGTGGGCTCATCTCTGCCACCCTCCAGTGAGTCATCCCGATCCCAAACTTCGGCTCTTCCAGGCGGACGACCAACCGCCGAGATGGCGAATCGTGTGAAGCTGATGGTCGGATTTGTTCGTTGGCTGGTGCCGATGCCGTGTTTCCCATGTTGGACACCGGATTGACTTAGCGCTTCGACCTCCAGCTCGACCTTTTGGCGGAAAGTCAACCAGTCTACCCCCACGCAAGGGGGGGCGGTTGGGGGCGATGAATTCGCTCATAACCGACTCATGAGGCCTCGGACCTCCATGATGTCTCCATGGGTTCCAACCCAGGCCTCCTCTTGCTACGTGTCAAAACTGCCATGGACTCTCGAAAGTACGAAAATGGGACATGACACCATGAACATCACCGGTACGCAAGTACGATCTTGTACGCCATATTCCGAGGTACTTTGAGGATCATAAAGGTATATCATGATGATACCGTGGTCACCAAAACGAACAGCTCAGCCGGCCAGGTGATACTCATGATCAGACTCTGTCAGACCGGATTCATGCCACAGGTCAGGAGGGCAGTGCACCACGCGTCATGTTCAGTTCTATCAGCATTTGACCAGGTCCGCAGTGCCCTTGCCCAACTCTTCCATGCCAAAACATGCTTGTTGGCTGTCCATCGCAACGTTCTCCGGTTCCTTCGGAACAGGAGACCAACATCTCCCAACCCCCTCCCATCTACCACCCGTCCTACCGAAGCAGTCGTCCTCCTAGGAGGCTCGCTGGCGGCGGGGCGCTTGGCCGCCGAGGGCTTCCGCGTGCTGCTCTTGGAGGCGGGGCCTTGGGATCCGCCCTGGCTCTACCAACAGCAGAGCGCTCGAGGACGCACCGCGCCTCGGCGGCCGAGCGGCAGAGCAGAAGGATGCAGTCGAGAGCAGTGGAAAAGCCCCGGTGGGGTGTGGTGTGGGTGGGTGGGTGGATGGTTTTTGACCCCGTTTCACTGGGGGAGAAGAGTGGGGTGAACTTCGGTGGGTGTGGTGTTTGGAAGCTTTTGGTCTTTGAACCGGAGGGTGCAGCTGGTCATCTTTATCAAAACATAATTGAAACACTATACTCGAGGTCAAGGGGCCAGGTGTGACTGGGTTTATTGCATATACCCTAGAAGTCCAAAGACTATTTTAGGCACCACCCAAGTAAAGGAAGTTCCTGAACTCGGATCACCAAGTCAGACGGTCGACTGGACTCCCAGGGTGCATAAAGGAACTATATTTTGACCGGCTAAAGTAAAGGAACTTCCCGAACTCAGGTCCCCGAACTCGTCAGACCATTCTTTTTCGAGTCGACTGGACTCTCAGGGTGCATATAATTACATGTTTGCGCCAACGTGTCCCACCGTTTGGCTCCATCCTCCACTCGCCCCTTGCTCCGAGGAACGGGGCCTCGACTGGAACTATCCCACCAAGCTTCCAAGCGGTCGCATTCGTTCCGCGGTGCGTTTTCCGCGGTTCGTTTCCGCGGAGCATTCATCGGAGCACAACAGGTGCAGGATGACCTTGAGGCCCCTTGGGGCACCCCAGGAGTTTCCGCGGCAAAACGGGGCACTCGGGTCGGTGTGCCGGTCGCAGACGTCTCAAACACCGTCGCAGCCGAGGCTCCCGCCCACGCTGCGCGTGCAGAACGCCCGGCACCGCCAGCAGCGCGTGGTCGCCGGGCGCGTGGCCGGCGGCTCCTCAGTGCCTCGACGCACCGAGGAGCAGCACGAGTCTCAGGGCATCGGTGCAGGAGATGTGCTTGAGTGGGCTCTTTCTAGAAGCTCCGCTGAGGTCACAAGGAAAGATCAACTGGACATCGAATTTATACCCTGTGGGTATCCACTTTCTTTCCTCCGCAGATTGGTTTTTGGGTCGTTCCTGGACAAGTTCAAGGTGGGATATCCAAAGCCACTGGTAAAAGGAAAGATCAACTAAACCAAGCTGTCCGTGGATGATTTTTGGTATATATAGATCCTCTAAGCCAAAATACCTGGGCTCATGTGGGCTCGCAAGGATTCTTTGTCGGATGTGTTGGTTTCTCTTATAACTCCTGGTCCTCCCAGCACCTGCCATGGTCCGATCTTTCCACCTTCTCCGCCGAAGCAGCCCTGAGGCGCTGCATGGAGACGTCTATGACAAGCCCTTGCTGAACGAGTTCCAGGAGCTCTGGGGCCTTCGAAGCTGGAGCACCGAGTCCGTGGCGAAAGACTTCCACGACATCGAGGTTCGACGCTTAAGACCCGCGGGGGTGAACCAGATGCGGCGGACGGTGGCTGAGGTGATTCCTTGGAATCGGTGTCTTACGCGCCAAAAAAAGGATGAACAGAGCGAGTTCACCTTCCTGTTTGGCAGGGAAAAGGATCAGATGAGAACGGCCCGGGGTTCGGACTGGGAGAGCGCCAGAATCTCATGCCGCACCCTTCATGTCAGCCAAACTTTATTTCAGAAACAGAGAAAATGATGGGAAGTCGGCTAGGTTTTGGTTGTGATCTGGCAGATTTCTGATCCTCCGTCCACGAGATAGAAGACCAATTGCTCCACGTCACCATGCCCTTTCTTGAGCACGATGACCTTCTTCTATGGCCTTTCAGCCCACTCCGGCTGCACTCCTTCACCGGGTTTCCACAGGAGGCCTTGACGCTGCAGTTCCGGGGCTTTGAGGTGCGAGATGGGGACGAACATCCGGTTCTTGAAGGGGAAAAAAGAAGAGCGGACTTCATGCGGTTCTATGTGAAAGTGATTGAACAGTCCCTAGTGTGTTCAAGTACTGTTGGTTGCACTGATTGATTGTCCTCCGCACCTCTGGCTAAACCCATCATCGAATCTAACCCAAATACTAACAGTCTAGTCTTTCCAAAAAGTGGACATAAAAATATTCCACAGCTTCCCACAATCCGTTTCCACCAACGATCCCCTCCCCACGATCACCCCCACGAACCGGTCGAAGTGCCGTCGAGGACTTGCAGCAGCTGCCCGAGGTGCACCGTCGAGTGCTCGAGGCGCTGACGGCGCTGCCGCTGAGCTTCCAAGCACGGCCGGGCATCGAGGACAAGGCAACGGCGGAACGGACCGGGGGGAGAAGGAAAGACCAGTGTGCCCCAGCAACGGAGGAAAGACCGGTGGCTTGGTGCTCGAATGAGAGGGCCAAGCTGAGCGACCGGTGGCTTCGCAACGGTCAGGAGACGTCTCTAACAGATCCGAGATACATCCCCCTTGAACATGGAAACGCGGTTCCCGTGCATGAGTCTTGTTCAGGTTGGCTCAGTGATGTTCTGACGCGCTGGCAGATGTTGCGGTGCATGGTTTTGGCACAGAAAGCAGAGGTACGAGTGTATGAACTTCTCATCGACAAGAGGGTGTGTATGAGTGAGAAACGACACACACACATATGGATGTGTAGCTCAAATAATTAGGGAGACCTCCAAAAGACTCCAAGGAAGAAGGAACATCGACCAGTCTACACATTTTGGTTCCCTCTTTAAATACACACCGATATAATACCAAAGAACTCGCTGGGCACCTCTGACTAAACAGAAACCACTCTACATGTCCCTTTTGGATCTTCTTGGCCCAAACCACTCTGCCCAAACCACTCTGCCAGAACCACTTTGCCCACAAAGAAGAATGGTGTGTTTTTCCAAATCCGCTTCGAAGAAAAGAAACGACCCCCCGCCCCAACCCATCCGGCCTCCAAGCAAAGCCACCCTCCACTGTATGCTGGTTTCCACCCTCCTCGTGCGAGGCCGGGCTCTACGGCGGTTGGTGGAAGTTCCGCACCTGTCGATTGGCCCAGTGGGAGTGGAATTCGGCGCGAGCCGGAGCGGGCGTCAGGAGTGGAGGGTGGTGTATACTTCAAGTGCATGGTGTATACAAGGTCATGTCTTAACATGTCTTAACAAGGTGTATGGTGCATGGTGTATACTTCAATTGGAATCCGGCTTAACAAGCTCATGTCTTGGTGGATCAGCCATCTGAACATGCTGGTGGACCAATGCACAATCCCAGGAATTATCTAAAGGAGACCTGACAGGGAACATGAGTGTTCTTCCTTCAAGTAAATCTCGAAGTATTCAATCCTAGAATACGACTCTAGGACTTCATTTCTAGTACTTCCTTCAAGTAAATCTTGGGGTATTCAAACCGGAATACGCCTAAAGCGATGTCTTTTCTGGATGGGCCATGATGGGCCTATGTTCCTTTGCTCAAAACACACATCGCAAACGCTTTTGAGGCCCACCAACGCCAGCAGATTGCTACCAGAATCCAGAGTGTCAAGTGGACGCCGCCTGCGAACGGAGCACACCCTATCGCGACATGGTGCAGCCCTGGAATCAATCACTGACACTTGGATGGACTCCAGCACGCACCTCCAATGGAGTCCAGGCTCCGGCAGATCAAACGGTTTTGGGTCCATTTGGTTGGAGAATTGAGTACAGATGATGTATGATCTATGCATTTGTGTATGATCATGTAATTATGATCGCCTTTTGGTTCGAAGCTTCCTCATTCTTTCGCAGGTTCCGATTTCTTTAGATTTGGGTCGCGCAATGGGTTCGGTCAACCAGGCACCCTGTGGACCCAACAAGGCTTCTCTCTCCGGGCCCAAACGCACCAAGACGCGGCCCAGGATCACAACCTGGACGAACGCCGCTTGGAGATGGAGAGATGCGCAGCGCCAGCGAGTATGCAACGTGTGGGGATGAAACCAGTGCTACATAGTGCTACTGTGGATGAGAAATAGAAGTCCACTTCTTTGATCTTCTTTGCAGTGCTGCAGGTTTGGGTCATAGTGTTGAGGATGGAAAAAAAAGAACGGTGCTACTATGACACTATGTATTTCCTCATCCTATGGACTTCTCCTCCGGGCTTGGACCCGACCCCAGACGAAAGAAGAACAGACGACAAGGACCGAAGGACCCGACACGCGAACGAACCACCGTGTGGAGCGACCGACACCTGCCGGTAGGTCAACCAAGATCTGGTTTTGACCCACAGCCGGTGCAGCCGATAGCTCTAGGGAGGAGAATTGTATAGCATCTTAAGGACTGACAACCTTACTGACATTGCTATACCAATATCTTCCTCTCAGTCTTTACTGTCGAAGAGCCCCTGAAATTCCACTGGAAGTGGGCTCATGGACGTCCACTTACGGAACAACTTCACTTTCAATGACCGGCTTGATGGGTGTGTGGGTGATACTTGCCCGGCGCGGTGTGACATGAACAGTGCTTCTTGCACGAAATACCCCCACAGAGAGCCATACTTAGCCAGAATCCATCCCATCCCATCCCATCCATCCATCCATGTGAGGTCAAGCTTCTCTTGCAAAAGAAGATACAGAGGTGTCATGAGGTGTCTATCCACCAGGCCCAGTGCCATCACCGATGTTCTCAGGCTTTCGTGACCCAGATCCTCATCCACCGCGGCGAGGCCACCGGCGTGCGCGTGGAGCGCCGCGGCCGCCGGACGCGCCGCTGCCGCGCGGCGCGCGCGGTGCTGCTGGCGGCGGGCGCGATCGGCACGCCGAAGCTCTTGATGCTCAGCGGGGTTGGAGATCCGCTGATCTTGCAGGAGCTCGACATCCCCGTGAAGGCGGTGGTGGTGCACAGTGGTTTTGTTGGGGGATAGGGTGGTTGTGGAGGATAGTTTGTGGTGGGCTGAAGAGGGCTGGGAGGAAGGCTGGGAGACGTTTGGTTGGGAAGTTGATTGCAACGGATGGTTCCGGTGCAGTGAGTGTAGTAGATGGCTTCATCCAGCTCAGAATGGGAGTGCTGGAGTAAAGACATAAGGTATTGCATCATCAAAGCCCTGAAGACGAAGAGTTGAGGATTTTGCTGTTTGGGTGGTCCGGTTTCGCTGATCAAGAACAGTTCATACAAGGTGTCCTGCAGCATGCACTATAGCAACACACTGGCATTTATTGCTAACTTATAGCCAGAAAGAAAGACCCGCCTCCAATCGATCAGAAATGGTTGGTGGGCAAAGGTCCAGCACCTGCATCCCATGTAACACCACACTATAGTTTGAAAGGAAAATCAACCACCACTCCATGGCTAACCTCTCTCCATGCAGCATAGCACAGCGCTGGGCGCTGCAGGTGGCCAACCGCGAGGTGGGGCAGAACCTCGCGGATCATTTGGCGCATTTCACGTGGTTCGGCCTCCAAACGGATCTTCCCATCGACCCTCTTCGCGACGCAGCATGCGCCTTGGGCGAAGAAAGCGGGGGTGGAGGGAAGTCCCAGCAGGAGAACCGTGTAACCTATGCTGGAATCGGTGTGTAGGTGCGCTATAAAAAGATTCGGTTTGAGCCACCGGCAGGCATTAACAGGTAAGTCGGGTGCAAAGGATATGTATCTTGCATCTCACCATGTGACCTGCCGCATGTATTTTGCAGGGTGAGAGATGTGTGCATGGTTGTGTGGTCGTTCCATGGTGTCAAATACTGAATGCAGTATATTGGGGCGAAGCAGAGGCGCTCACCAGGAGTGCCTGGATCTATAGTGATTGATCGATCCAGTGCTGGCTTGGCTCGCAGAAGCTTCATGTTGACACACGAGCTTGGATGAGTTGGAGGAATCTAGCTGCTCTAGCATTCATCGAAGTGATTCATAACTTTTGACAGACTTATGACAGCCTCTTCCACATCATGAGTTTTGACACTCATGTGACATACTTCCGGACAAGATGGTTTCAATGACATACTTCCTGAGAAGATGGTTTGACCCCTTAAAGCCATGACTGTGAGTGGCTCAAGTCTGGGGTTCTGCTCGATATTTCTGGCGAAATCCATCTAGATCTTCGAGAATTAGGGATCTCCAGGATAGACCAAGTCCAATCATTCATTGCTTCTCTCTCCTTTGGAGGAAGGGATGGCAACCAGAAAACCGATGTCGTGCTCCGAAGACGCCCGCACCAGCTCCACCGGCTCCACCTGCCGCTGTGGTGAAAGGGTCCAACCGATCACTTCATCTTCGCTGATGCTACACGCATGGCTGCTTCCAACGACCCAAACGTGGTTCATGAAGTCTGAAGGATCCAACATGATCCAACCATTGGTTGAAGAATTGGCATGATCCCTGAGCCTCTATAGATCTCTATAAGTCTATACTTCACCCAAACGTGCTTGACTTTGGATGCCACCCTGCCAGGTCACACCATCCAAATCAACCCCTTCTGGAACACGCCACGCCGCCGCGGTTGAGCACCCTCCGAGGCTCTTCGCGGGAGATTTGCAACGCCTTCTTCCGCTCGGACATGACGTCCCCCCACGTGGACGCGGAGCTGCGCTTGCGCCCGGGTGGCATTGAAGTGGTGAAGTGGTTCAAATTTGGCGGGGTGGTGGGTGTTGGTCTGTTGGTGGGTGATGGTTGCTGTGGAGAGCAGACACGGATCAAATACGGATCAAAACGGACATGGAAGTGAAGAAAAGGTTCCTGTTGCAAGACCTTTTCCTCTACAAAACAGTGCGAGTTGTTTCCAGTGCCATGTGTTGTTCTTTTCAATGTCGTGTCGTGCGTGTGGGCAGGAGCTGTTGGTTTCCTTTGGTCGCCGGAGTTCTTCTCAGGGGGTCGAAGGGGGTCGCAGAAGTCTTCCAACGCCTGAGGGGGGTCTTCCAACTCCCATGCATGTTGTTTTTGGTGCTGGAGGAGCTTGGAGGAGCTTGGCAAAGCCCACCTCTGAGTTGTGGATGTGAGAGTGAGGAAGTCGTTTTGTTGCACCAAACATGAAAAACAACCGTGTGAGTGTCGTGAAGTGGGGACATCGCTGGAGAAGATGGCTGGTCCTGGCGCAGATTCGGAAGATTGGCAGAACAAGAGCCCTCACAAGACAGCTCTTCAGCCCTTCTTCATCCATACAAAACCACAAGTAACAAGCTATCAAAAACTATCAAAAACCTATCATTCATGCAAAAACTATCAAAAACTTGCCAAACCCATGTTGAGCATGGTTGAAACCTTTTTCGCTCCTTATGGACGTGATGTTATGGGCACGGGTGACTCCTTCGTTGCTCTTGCAGAGCCAAGATGCCAAGGTATGGCGGTTGCAACGTGGAGCGAAACAGCTTCGACTTCGGCCGCTGGTCGGACGACAGCACAGAGACCGTCGTCCAGTGGGTGGGTTTCAGAAACGTTGGAATTGTGTATCACTTCAATAACCTGAGAGAGGTTCAAAGCAAGTCCCAAGTCCCAACGACACAGATGACCAACCATATCCATCCTTTCTGGTGCTTATTTTACCTCCCAGATCCTCACTCACTTCACATCCGGAGCTCCACCACCGCGGGCCGCAGAGGCCTCGAATCCGTTCTCCTGCGCCCCGCGTCCCGCGGCCGCGTGACGCTGCGAGCCGCAGAGCCGCGCGCGGAGCCGGTGGTGGAGTTCCCGCGCTGGTGGGCGACTGGGCGGAAGGGCAGGGCAGCTGTCCATTCAGGGGTATCCGTGAGGTATCAGTGGTAATATACAAAATCAGTGAGGTATCAGTATCTTGTCAGCATGAGCGGGTTCAACAAGATACTTGGAGTGAAGAAGTCCTTTGACCTGGGAGCCACCGTTCTGAGGATGAGGACTACGAGCACTTGGAGCAGATCCTTCTTCGCCTGGCAGACACCTTGGGTTTGGAGGCCAACAACCTCAGTAGCAGCACGAAGCCCTTGAAGGAAGATCTGCGAGAGAAGGCCAGATGCTCGCCCAGGTCTTCCCAAAAGGGTCTAAACGACATGGTATCTTGCCCCGACCAGAGTTTTGACTGGGTCCATTTGCTGTTTTTTGTGGAGGATGTCTTTACGAAAGCCAGCCTTCGTAGAAGGCGCCAGCTGAGTTGTGTTTGGCGAACGAAGTGAGTAAGTAGGGGGTGGCCCGAGAAAGCACTACGTAAACTCGAAATTAGGTGGTGGAGAGGAGTGTGCGGAAGTAAGGTTTTTGAGGTTGTGTTGGAGGTGAGTTTTTGTGATTTTTGAGGGTGGTGATGCAAGAAATGCAATTTGCATCAGTTGCATCATCTGAATGGTAAGGTGTAGCTGGCACCTTGCCAGGTATAGATACCCAGGGTAGCTACAAGTCAATTACCAGGTAAAGTACTTCAAGTTCCCTTTCCGTCAACCGCTCGATAACCTCTACACACGCACAGCAATCCACAGCTTTGAAGTCTCATTCGTGCATTGAACTTATATAGGTGTGTAAGAGGTATAG